GGAGAGAGAGAGAGAGTAACTTAAGCAGACTCCATGCTGCTCGTGGAACCTGATGTGGGGCTTGATCCCACGACCCTGAGATCATGACCTGAGCCCAAACCAAGAGTCTGCCCCTTAACAGACTGCGCTGCCCAGGTGCCCCTGAGCCGCAGTTTTCGCTGTGTCTGTCAAATAAATAAAATATTAAAAAAAAACCCAAAAAACAAAAGACGCAGTTTTCGAAAGCTTGGCTACCTGATTGAAAACTGAGAATACAGGAAACACACACACACGCAAATCAGTATTCTGGAAACTAGCCCCAGGAGGAAATACAGTTAGTGCCAAATGCCGGTAGAAGTGTGATGGTTTAGAGTGTACTTGAAGTGATTTGGAAAAAACTCATGAGAGATGAGACTTGACCTGAGCTTTAAAGAAGGGATGGGATTTGCCACAAGTTGAGCATGTGTATCTGTTATGCTTGTGTTTGTAAAGGTAGTGCCTATCATTTGGGCCGGGTGGGGCTGGTACGTGCATGAGGCTGGGGTATGTGTGCGGTGTTTGGGAGCGAATCCGTGAGGTGGGTGTTGTGTGCGACTACTGGAAGGAGTTGGGAGTTCATTCAGTTGCAGAATTGCTTCGGAAAGAGTGCCTTGCTATTAGGAGGATTTTTCTGGTAACAGTAAGCTGGGTGGATTTAGAAAGGGAAGGCGCTTAGAAGGCTATTAGAGTAGTTCTGACCTGAACTGAGAAGGATTGATGGCAGTGGGAAATGGATAGAAAGGAACTGATTGGACAGAAACCATCAGAGAGATTCTGGTGGGGGGAAAGGCAAAATTCAAGAGGATTCTGCGTTTCTGTGCTGGATGCAGAGGTCCTCATGGTGTCCTTAATGGATACAGGAGAAGTCAGGGTTAAGAGTTTGCTGTGAGAGGAAGAGAAGAGGTTTAATGTAGGATGTGATAAGGTATTGGAGTCCTGAAATGAGGTCAGATTTATGGATAGAGGGTTCACTGTACCATCAATCTTCAGGATTTCACTCAAGGCCAGTTGTTTTTTCTGTTGACTGTTGTGAGAAAGGACAGTGATGTAGAAAGATGTGGAGGAGAAAAGAGGGGAATGACTGTGGGATTTTTGGCTTAAGAGTTAAGTAGTACTTTTTATATATCAATATTATAGTTCAGAATTACCATGTGATACTGTAACAGAACCTGAAAATTCAGCATGCTTGGAATAACCTAATTTTAACTTTCATCTGTGTTCCCCTAAGATGCTTTCTGAGCACTTATAAATTTCCATAGATTTATGTTAATATTTATATCAAAAATTTATATTAATGAGTTAATATTTATATTATTGAATACAGACTCATATTTAATAAAGCTAATACAAAACCTTAAGGACTGCTATTAGTCTTTTGTTTGGATGACTTAACCATTTGAAACTAATTGGCAAATGGGCTTCTCTGTTTCTTTCTTTCCTTTTTTTTTTTTGAAGATTTATTTATTTGAGTGAGAGAGCGTGCACAGCAGGAGGAGGGGGAGAGGGAGAAGCAGACTCCCCATTGAGCAGGGAAGCCTGATCTGGGGCTCTGTCCCAGGACCCTGAGATCACATCCTGAGCCATCGGCAGACGCAACCAACTGAGCCACCCAGGCACCCTGCTTCTCTCTTTTTTAAGGAGTTTATACATGATGAGGATTATTTCACGTCTCCAGTTTTTTTTTCATAGGGTTTTAGTAGGTGGTTGGGACAAGTTGTAGAGTAGCTACAATTTTGAGGAATTGCCTTTAAATGAGGTCTATTTCTTCTACAGTGTTTAGTAATGCTTCACAAATATGGTCTAATTAATTCATTATTAAGCATGACAGTATAAAAAATGTTCAGTTGCTAGCCTCTGTTTTCCCTGATCATTAATCCATATACCATAATACTTGGGTTTTTATTATTATTTCAAGTGGGAAGTATATAATCAAAAGCATTGATCAGTTTAGGACTGCTTGATATACTTGGAGATATTATTCAGTTTGTCTACAGGTAGAGCTTGATGCACAAATGGATTCATGGATTCTTTGGTCCACAGGATGGGAATTGCTGGTATTGCATTCGATCCAAGGAATATTTGTTTGAAGAGTAGAAGTTGTGTCTGGTTCTCCTTAAAGAGGGTCCAGATTGTGCAGATTTTATTTTTGCTTTTTATTGTACCAATTAATTGAAGTATGATTCATTGGATAGAATTTAGAAGTCTGTTACATGTAAAATTAGACTTGTAAATTAAATTACTTGGGAATATGACAATATGTTAACTTAAGAGATACTTAGTAACAGTTTTATTTCCTTGTATAATATTAATTCTCAGAGCTGGTTGCTATTAAAAATTTTATGTTTTTGGGGGGATTTTTGACATCTGGAAGAAAACGTGTACTTAGTGTTAATTTCATCTCAATAATGCAAAATCATATAGTTGAGCCAAAGTTATCTTTACTCTTCCATTCCATTTACTGATTACAGCAGGTACAAATGGCTCTCTCAGATAATCCTCTCCAGTGAGTTTTAGTTTTCAGTTACTAAAAAATGGTATTTCTACAGTCTCAATTTCCCATAGAGTTGATACCGTATACATCATTATTTAATATAATGCACTTGCCTTAAAACTTTGGAGCATGGTTTTGGTATTGCTTAGTTACCTGGATTTTTAAAGAGGGAGGCTATTTACCAGGCATATACGACAATGACTATTTTTTTTTATGGTAGTGGGTTTTTTTTTTTTTTTTTGTCAGACGTGGACATTTAAACTTGTGCTGGCACATTAGTTCCGTGAAGATTAGCTAAGATAATGTAAGGTCACAAGCTGTTTAGTTGAGCCTGTAAACATAATCAAAGTAAGACTTACTGAAGCAAGCATGAAGTTTTGAATGTGAATATTTTAAATGAAATACTGAAATTACTTATAGTAGCCCTGGATATATATTAATTACGTCATTTGTTCTTGTCATAAGTTTCTACTTGATCATGTTTTTTTCCAATAGCACAAGCAACTTATTTATATTTCATTCCTGAGAAACTAAAGGAAGAAACTGCCTAATGAATATGAAAATTGCCATTAAATTAGAGTGTCCATTTTATGGATGCTTATATGATTATAGTTTCTTGCTCTTCAACACATTTTTGGACTGGTGTTAGAGTGTGTGTAATCCGTGTGTACAAACTAAATTTCAAAATCTAAGCAGTATAAATATAAATTAAGGTGGGTTAGGGAAAAAATACAGTTGCTGAAGGAGAAAAAGACTTCAGGCTAAATACAAGCCATATTTATTTTTTGCTTTTTCTGCTTACTTGGTTTACACCACCTTTTTCTCTTCAGTAATAACAAGTAATATGGGTAGGAACTGACTTAACACTACTAAGTTAATATTAACAATGCCATTAGTGCATATACACACATGTTTAAGGCTTTAGAGAAAAATGTCTTTCCCGTCCTGACCAGCCCAATCAGTTAGCTAATTTTATTGTTAAATAAATTTAATTTATTAAAGTGCTAAATACAGTAGTCCATTATTAAAAGAAACGAGTAGGATTAAAATAAAGGCTTTTTAAAAAAATAAATACTTCTGGATAAAGTTAGCAGGCTTCCACTGAAACTCAGTTTTGGTTTCCTTTACAGGACTAGCTATTCACAGTCAGAACCACTTAGCACGCTTTGCCCGTAGCGTCTACTGAGGAAGTCAGAATCTGAGCCAGCATGAAGACTGAATCTTGTCTTTGGTCTGATTTATAAACCATACTTTTATTCTAACCATGTGCAAGGTGGAGGTTATAGCATGGAAACTAAAACCTTAGTAAGTGTGATTTTTATTTTGGCTAATAAATTACAGCCTTTCTTGTAGTGAATTTGTCCTCTTAACGGAGTTCACAGTATAAATGGAGTGAGGACTTGGCAAACAGGGACACAATAATACACATACAAAGCCAAAGATTGAGCTTTTCAGGTCAGGAAAAATCTCTGAGAAGGGGAGGCAAAGGCTTCTGTTACTCTGCCTAGGATTTTTCACTTTTCTGGTTAAAAATAGGTGGCAGGATGATATTTAGTTGAGAAGGGATATAAGAAAATGGCTTTAGGCAGCCATGAAAAAAAGTAATTACTAAATTTGCTGTGGAAGTTACTTCATAAATTAGTTGGCATTAAATCATGAAGTATTCATTTTAGTGTAGTGTTAGTAATAAGCCCAGTGTAGAATCCTAGGAACCTTTTTAAATATTGAATATGTATTTAGTATGAATTGAATTTTGAGTATGTTTTAAATATTGAATATTTTTTGTATAAGTATGAATATTCAAAATTATATTGGCATGAATATGCTAGTAGTTATTTTAGGGACGTTCCGGCGATTTTATTGTCCCAATAGGTGATGTACAGTTTTTATTTTTTTTGTGCTCCAGACAGAATTAGATTTTGAAGGTGTAGGCTATCAAGGAACTTAATCTGTATTTCAGTGTTATTTTCTGATTGTAAGGATTACTCTTCAACATTTTTCTTTTCTGCCTGTGCTTACTGAGAGCAGTGGATAAGTAGCACCTTTAAGCTGCTTTTTCTTCCTTAGCAAAAATAATAGAATTGACTTTGTTTGATCTTCTGAATTCTTCAGTGAATCAAACAGAACGATACTGTACCTAGAGAGCATAAGAATCTAAGTTGTTCATAATTTGAGAATGGTTATGTGTTTATTTGGTTTGTGTTCTTTCCCTTCTCTTTGAATCTTAACTGTTTCTTTTCTAAATTGATGGTGATGACCTGGCTTAAATTAAACATTTCTATTAGCGGCTTCTCTATTTTAACTTGCTTCCCTCTTAAAACAAACCTCCCTTTTATCTCCTGCTTATCTCTTTTGCATTCTAAAGTACAATTTCATTAAATCCCTGAGGTCTAAGATTTTTTCTTTGGGAGCTTATCTCTGGTGTCTCTAATGGAAATTGGAAAAATAAGGGTAGTTCATTGCTAAATCTTACAGGCTTCTTTTGAGAGATTTATATTTTATAAGTTGAAGGGTACTTTTGGGGCACAGAGATGGAATTATGTAGTTACTGTTTTAATAACTATGTCCTAATTATTTATAGCTTCCTGCCTGACATAACTCACTTCAAGAAGAGCACAATGTCAGAACGTGGAATTAAGTGGGCTTGTGAATATTGTACGTATGAAAACTGGCCATCTGCGATCAAGTGTACTATGTGTCGCGCCCAAAGACCAAGTGGAACAATTATTACAGAAGATCCATTTAAAAGTGGTTCAAGTGATGTTGGTAGAGATTGGGATCCTTCTAGCACTGAAGGAGGAAGTAGTCCTTTGATATGTCCAGACTCTAGTGCAAGACCCAGGGTTAAGTCTTCGTACAGCATGGAAAATGCAAATAAATGGTCATGCCACATGTGCACCTATTTGAACTGGCCAAGAGCAATCAGATGTACCCAGTGCTTATCCCAGCGTAGGACCAGGAGTCCCACAGAATCTCCTCAATCCTCAGGATCTGGTTCGAGACCAGTTGCTTTTTCTCTTGATCCTTGCGAGGAATACAATGATAGAAATAAACCGAACACAAGGACCCAGCATTGGACTTGTTCTATTTGCACATATGAAAACTGGGCCAAGGCTAAAAAATGTGTTGTTTGCGATCATCCCAGACCTAATAATATTGAAGCAATAGAGTTGGCAGAGACTGAAGAGGCTTCTTCAATAATAAATGAGCAAGACCGAGCTCGGTGGAGGGGAAGCTGCAGCAGTGGGAATAGCCAAAGAAGATCGCCTCCCACTACGAAACGGGACTCTGAAATGAAAATGGATTTTCAGAGGATTGAATTGGCTGGTGCTGTTGGCAGCAAGGAGGAACTTGAAGTGGACTTTAAAAAACTAAAACAAATTAAAAACAGGATGAAAAAGACTGATTGGCTATTCCTCAATGCTTGTGTGGGTAAGTTTCTGCATTTTTTGAATGGGATGGGAAAAGGTATTAAAAATGACATGAAAGATATAAGCAGGGTCAATATTATTTAGCATTTCGGTCATTCAGCATGATAGCTGTACTCCCACTATGCATGCATGAGAATCTCTGTATTTGTGATCTTGTTATAACTTTGTTCTAAATTGCCTCCATTTCATTGTGTGTCTTTCCATCATTAGGGAGAAAAACTTAAGTTAAAGCAAAGTTTTTTACACATCAGTAGGAGAAAAATATACCTGGAGTTTAAAGCTGCTCCTCTATTTATTGTAACAGGATGTGACTGAGGAACACCAGCTGCTGCTTCAGAGTGTTTGTAAACAGTGTGAGCATCTTGTGATGATAGAAGCTTTAGTCAGATGTTAAAAATATCACAAAAATGTGACTCCAAGAAGTTGAACAAACATAATATTGACCTTGAAAATACTGATGTTAATTTAACGTGAATGTCATGTAGTTAATATTTGCACATTTTATGAAACTGATTTCATGTAGCCAGCTAAATTCCACAATTCAAATTATGATTTGTATATTTTGTGGTTTTAGTGCTTCCTAAAGAAATTCTGGATATTGATCCCAGTTACTGGTTAAGACCTGTCGAAAGACCAGGACATGTTGTGAGAGCAGGGTTTTCTCTAGTTTCGACCTTGTGAGGTAAATATTTGTGATGTAATTCACAAAAGGAGTTACTGGACTCCCTGTGCTTTTTTGTTTCTTCTTGAGTAGGTTAGCTTTTTGAATTTTATGATTGAAATTATTTGGATGGGGTGCTTACTTTGACATTCTGTTTTGTAAAGAAAATTTTTGTAAAGGATAATTTGGAGGGACTACTCAAGTTAAATATTGTGTGGAACAATAGCTAAGCCTGTATATAGCTTAGCTGTATGTGTATGTTTTTTTCCCAGTATGAATTTCTTTTGTTTATCCTCCTGAATATAGCTACAAGAACGGAAGACGTAACTATATGAACTTGTAAGTCCTAAGCGTAGATTTCAAGAAATCTGAGTTTTTTATTTTTGTTTTGTTCCGGCAAAAAGAATGTCCAAGAAGGTGAGTCCTTCTGAACACCAAAACACAGTAGGCACTTAGTAACTCTTGGCTCCAATTTTCTTCTATCCTGAGGACTAGGGATGAAAGCACACTGAGCCATTTTAGGCTATCTGTGTTTTTCCATTTCATCCCATTGATTTTTTTTTTCCTCCAAATTGGGGTACCCTATGTGGTATAATTTTCTTTTTTTTTTTTTTTTTAAAGGAGGTACAGAGAGATTTATTTTATTGAGGTCAAAGTTGCAACATAAAATTCAGCATTTTGAAAGTGAACAAATCAGTGTCATTTAGTGCATTTAGAGTGTTGTGCAACTACCATCTGTCTGGTACTAAAACATTTTCATCACCCCAAAAGGAAACCCTGTACCATTAAGCAGTTACTCTCCCTCCCCTCCTCTCCCAAGTCCCTGGCAATCACGTCTGCTTTCTGTCTCTGTGGATCTACCTATTCTGGATATTCCATATATAAATGGAATCTTATGTGACCTTTTGTATCTAGGTGTGATTGTCTTTAAATTACCTGGGTGCCTTTTGGAAACTCTTAAAATCATTTTTGCAGGTGGTAATGCACTATGCATACCTTTAGTACAAGGTCGTGTTATAGTACACGGAAGTTTACAGATAGAAATGAAGTACGTTGCAACAATTACTCACCTCTGTTGGGGTCATAGAATCCTTTAGAAATCAGAGGTTCATAGTTTCTTCAGGTTAGTGGATCTCAGGATAAGAACTTCTACTTTGAAATATTTTCTCTTGTTGAAACACAAATTAGACCAATCAATATAACTTTGTCTATGTGGCTGTTATTTCTTTATGACTACTCTAATTTTGTTGCTCCCTTTTATTTTTTCCATATATTCTTCTTATTTTTTTTTTTAAAGATTTATTTATTTATTTGAGAGAGCGAGAATGAGAGAGAGAGAGTACATGAGAGGGGGGAGGGTTAGAGGGGGAAGCAGGCTCCTCACCGAGCAGGGAGCCCAATGCAGGACTCGATCCAGGGACTCCAGGATCATGACCTGAGCCGAAGGCAGTCGCTTAACCAACTGAGCCACCCAGGTGCCCCACATATTCTTCTTTCTTTTTTTTTTTTTTTAAAAGATTTAAAAAAATTGTTTTTTATTTGACACAGAGAGACATAGCGAGAGATGGAACACAAGCAGGGGGGGAGTGGGAGATGGAGAAGCAGGCTTCCTGCGGAGCAGGGAGCCTGATGCGGGGCTCAATCCCAGGACGCTGGGCTCATGACCTGAGCTGAAGGCAGACGCTTAACGACTGAGCCACCCAGGCGCCCCTCCACATATTCTTATTTCTTTTGGGATAACCATCCTTGTACCTCTTCGCATTTTGATGGCTGTGATTTCATTTTAAAGGTGGAACAAAAACTCATGCCAGCAGGACCAATACTGTATTTGATTTTTTTTCATCTACCAGTTTCTTTATCATTAAGTCCCTACTCCCACCCACTCCAGAGTTTCTAGGTTCTTAGGGCTAAGTATTAATTGTATTTAGTTCTTAGTAATGTGCATTCTGTTTTCCCTTTCAACAGATATTTTTTACTTCACCATACAGTGGTTCTGAACTGTTGTACCAATTATGACCGTGTCTTTTTTGGGTAGTCCTATCCTGATTTGTAAACATCACTGAAATATGTGTAAAACATTTTTTTGTTTACCTTGTGTTGGGTTAATTAATAGAAGCCCCCATGTACTGAACATTAACCTTTACTTCCCCTTTTCTGCCTGCCTTATGTTCTCCAGATTTCATTAGATACGGTATATTATGGCTTGTCCATGTTAGGCATTTAAGAAAATCATCTCTGTGGTCCCTTTGGTAACACATTTACTAAAAAAAATCATCTCTGAAGTATATACACTAAGTATAAAATATTTACTGAGTATAAAATTTATACTAAGTATAAAATGAGACAACCCCTTTGAAATTGGAAAAAGTCTCAACCTTTGTAGCTTGTTAAAATAGGATTGAGGAGGATTCAGTTGTTAAGAAAGCAAAAGTAAACTGAAGTGCCAGCAGTATTGAGCAAGTTTCTTTTTTACATGACTGTTGGGTGTAAGTTTCGCCTAAGTCATTATTATTATCTTATGTGGTGAGCGGACGTTGGGGACAGTGATGCCAAGACCTGCCATCAGTGAAAGTGGAATCTGGGGGTAGGAACCAGGATGGTAAAGGCAGAGGTGTGAATTTAAATGTGCAGTTGTCTCTGGAATGTCTGCAGTTTGGTGCCAGGTGTTTTCTGGGAGGTCATGTTGGTGCTAATCATAGACTGCCTTTCCTGCTGGATAGATAATGTCCCTAGAGAAAAGGGCAGTACTACCTAACACACCATTTTAATTCTGCTATTGTATTGAATCGGTTGCCCTTTAGAAGAACATTTTAATTTGTGACCCAGGCTGATCCCTTGAAAAGATAAACAGGGTCACATAAGGATCCCAAATTAAATCCGTGGTGATAACTTTTTGTATTCCTGAACCCTGGACTTGTGTAACCAGTCGTGTACACCACATTTTCCCTTGAATAGCTGGTATTTCCAACTTCTTCCCAATTCAGCGAAGCTGAAACTGAACTGGTCTCTCCCTTAAACCTATTCTTTCATAGTCCCCTTTCTCCCTTGATGACAAGTTTATCATCCCACCAGCTGTGCCCAAAGCCTCGGTCATCCTTGATTCTCCTTTTTCTCTTACTCCTTTCCTACTTGTCAGAAAATCTTTCTGGTTCTACCTTCAAAATACATGCAGAATCTGTACTTCTCACTACCCTGGTCCAAACCATGATCCCCTCTGTCCTTTTTTTCTTTTACTAATTGTTCTCCACATAGGAGCTACTCTTCTAAAACTGCTCAGAACTCTTCAGTGATTGTGTTGCTCTGAGTAAAAGCCAGAGTCCCTCAGAGACACTCTAGGCCCCCTCAGCTGTGTTCTGCACCTTCCTCCCCCTCCCCATTCCCCCTCCCGTCTGTTGCTCTTAACCTCACTCATTCACTTTAGCCACTCTGGCCACCTTTCTTCTCTACAAATAAGCCTCAAACCTTTGTACTTGCTGTTTCCTCTGCCTGGAATTCTCATTTTCTGGATTGCAGGATTAGCTCATTTAGTTGCTTAAGTTCTTTTCTCAATTGTTGCCTTCTCATTGAGGCTTCCCTGACTGCTGTATCTACAATTTCAGCCCTGTCCTCATCCCCTTCCCCTTGTTTTTTTTTTTTTTAAAGATTTTATGTATTTATTTGATAGAGAGCGAGCACAAGTAGACAGAGTGGCAGGCAGAGGGAGAGGGAGAAGCAGGCTCTCTGCTGAGCAGGGAGCCGGATGTGGGGCTCGATCCCAGGACCCTGGGATCATGACCTGAGCCAAAGGCAGCGGCTTAACCGACTGAGCCACCCAGGTGCCCCTCCCCTTCCCCTGGTTTTAATTTTCTTTACAACACTTGTTACTTTCCACTTTATTATTTGTCTCTTTTCTTCCTTAGAATTTAAGCTTGGTGAGGGCCAGGAATTTTGTTTCCTTCACAGCTGTATCCTAGTATTTAAAACAGTGTCTGATATATAGCAGGCATTCAGGCATTTGTTAAATCATTCAGCGAATAAGCCCTTGTGGAAACTGAGATCTGGACAAATAGACCTTTATGCTTTTCTGAATTTCTAGATTTTTTACTTTCTTCCTAGCTTTCTGTATTTTTTACTTTACAAACTACCCCTGGGGCTTGACCCAGTGGGAGCCATCGTGACTTCTCCCTATTAGGAGAACAATACCTTAACATATAAGGTATTATTTGTTTCAGGGGTATAGGTCTGTGATTCATCAGTCTTACACAATTCACAGCGCTCACCATAGCACATATCCTCCCCAGTGTCCATCACCCAGCCACCCCATCCTTCCCACCCCCCTCCACTCCAGTAACCCTCAGTTT